AAGGGAAAAGAAAAAAATGTGAGAGAATGAAAAGATGAAAATAAAGTGTTTGTAGATGGGGAGGGGAGGAGGGGGTGAAGGGAGGGCAGAGGTAAGGGGAAAAAATGAGAATCAAGACTTGTCATGTAGAGGTACAAGATCCCAACAATGAATGTAACTGTACTGTATCCCTAAAATGTACCAATAAACTCAATTAAAGCTGAAAAAAAAAATAAATAAATTGCTGTTCAAAGATTTAAAGCTTTAAAAGAAGCAGTTAATGAAAACCACTTGGTACATATATGCATACTCACTTCTTCGAGTATGTCTATAAAAATCTTTGTAGGTTAACCAACATTATATAATTAAGAATGTTTCTAAATATAAGCATAGAAATGTCTATGTGGCCATCAACAGATGAATGGACAAAGAAAATGTGGTATTTATACACAGTGGAACACTACTCTGCCATAAAGATAATTTTCTGTAGGAAAATGGATGCACCTTGAAACCATAATGTTAAGTGAAATAAATCAGACACATAAGCTTGAATATCTCATGGTTTCTCTTACACGAGAAACCCAAATATACATAAAGAGCAAAATAAAAGATAATAGGAAGTAGGGAGACAGATCTTTTCAAATGGGAGGGGCATCAAAAGATGGAGTGGGGAGGGGTGTGGAGGGAAAAAGAATGAAAACAGGAATTAAGATGTGTGTGTTATGTACACAAAGCAACTCCATATAAGGTACCATGTACTTTATTAGATAATAGTTATGTGTGATCAAGGTTATGAGAACACAAAAACAACAGCAAAGATAAAATTGGGACAACTCATTGGCTAACGACTTACTAAATTTCTCAGAAAGTCTAACTGTATTTTGTTGCCTTTTCACATTTAACAAACTTCAAAATAAAAAATTCTTCTAAAAAACGAAAAAAAAGAAAGAAAGAAATGCCAAGGGAGTTCTCACTCCTTATTTTTCCAGGTCCAATTAAACTATCTTGGTCATCCCCAGTTAGTAAAGTAGGCACAATAAACACATACTGAGAAACAAGTATCTCATCTCAGATGACTGGGTAAGAAATGAAGGCCCAACCCAGATGGCTTAGCCTGTTAGATGATGACTAGTTTTAATGGCTGTGGTGTCATACGGACATTCCAAACACTGTGTGCCTTTGTCCTTACTTGTATGACATGCCAACACTTGAGCTAGCTATAGGCCAAGTTTGTCTGGACAAAGATTAGCCTCTCTTCCTCCTATGCTCCAGCTATTCCTTGGTTCCCTGGATGATAAGTCATTTCCAGAGACAATATACCGAACAGTTCAAAATCTGAAATACGAAACAGAAGACCTGGATTTCAATCTTAGTCTAACTTGTTGGTATGGCCAACATTCAGCCATGAGAATTGAAGTACTGGCCTCAACTCATGCCTCAATCCTCTGGGCCTCAGTTCTTCATTTAACATTGCACTTATCTCAAAGGCCAGTGGTGACAAACTCATGGCACGCATGCCACGGAAGAGTGTTTTTATCACTGAAAACTCTAAAAGGCTTGCCATCACTGTCACAGGCTATTAAATGGATTGAATGAGTACAGTATACAGTAGTTCCTATCATGCAGGTTACAGACTCCTGGGCAAAGCTGACCATATTGTAAGAGGCCTGAATAAGCATATATTAGATAAAAAGGATCATTTAGGATTAAGACTGAAAGCCATGAGTAAAATTATCTCGTTTCAAGTAACAGCTTTATCATCTAAGCAAATTACTTTGCCTCTTGGTGTCAGTTCCTCATCTGTAACTGGAAAAAACAGAATCATACTGGGTTGCACTGAAGTTCTATGCATCTATTAATATGTCTATATTTACATATATAGATAAGTCTTGTAACATTATATAGATGAGTACTTAAAACATTAAGAACCAAATAAATGTTAACTAATGTTACTAAAATATGTATCTGTTATTCTTTCAAAGTACAACTATTATTTTGCAGGTGTCTATTGTGTTTTTTAAAAGTTTATTATACTTGAAATGGCAAAAAACTTCTAAGGTAATAGTTATAGAGGAATCTAGTACACTGCCTACTTTGTCCTAAACCAGAGTAGTTAAGTCTATGATTTCATTTTTTTTTTAATTTATTGAGGTTTTTATGGCTCTAACATATAGTCTATCCTGCAGAATGCTCCATGTGTACTTGGGAAGAATATGTACTCTGCTGTTGTTTGGTAGAGTATTCTTTGTATGTCTGTTAAGCCTAATTAATTTGTAATACTATTCAAGTCCTCCACTATTTTAATGATTTTCTCTCTGGCTGTTGATCTATTATTGAAAATGAGGTACTAAAGTCTCTATTATTTGTAGGACTACTTTTATTACAATTCTGTAAAATTTGCTTCACATATTTTGGGGCTTTGTTAGCCACATGTATAATTGTTACATCTTCTTGGTGTACTGAACTTTAATCAATATATATTATTCTTTGTGTCTTATAACCTTTTAAAATTTAAATCTATAGCTTCTCTACCTTTCTTGTGATTGTCACTGAATACTTTTTGTGTACTTTCAATTCCTTTGTGTCTCTGTATCTGAGGCTTTTGTACCCAGCTTATCAATGGATTAAGGGGGAGTTAAAATCCAACTTGCTAATCTGCTCTTTATTAGGATAATTTAACCACGTTACATTTATATTTAATTACTGACAAGGAAGAATTTACTTGTGCCACTTAGCTATTTGTTTTCTATATGTCTGCTACTTTTTTTCTCATTTGATTTATTGTAATTTCATTGGTTTTGTTTTGTAGTAATAAAGATTAGTGAGATCTACATCCTATTTGTAAGACTACTTATGGGTTTAGTTTTCCCAATCGAGTGATCTTTCCCCTTCCAACTGATCAGTTTCTTTTTTTTTTTTTTAATACGAGGAATTGAACTCAGGGTCTCAAGCTTGGCAGGCAGGTTCTGTGGCCCTGAGCTACATCCTTGGCCCCCAACTGAACAGTTCCTTTTTTATTTTTATTTTTATTTTTTTTCCTCCTTGTGTTTTTTGACACTTTAGGTAGCTTGGCAGGCAGGTTCTGTGGCCCTGAGCTACATCCTTGGCCCCCAACTGAACAGTTCCTTTTTTATTTTTATTTTTATTTTTTTTCCTCATTGAGTTTATTGGTACACTTTAGGTATACAGTACAGTTACATTCATTATTGGGATCTTGTACCTTTACATGACAGGTCTTGGTTCTCATTTTTTCCCCTTGTCCCTGCCGTCCCTTCACCCCCTCCTCCCCTCCCCATAAACATTTTGTTTCCATTTTTTCATTTTCTCCTATTTTTTTCCTTTCCCTTATTACCTTCTCCCTACCCTTCCCACCTTCCCTACACCTTTAGCCCTGATACATATCTCCTTCATGAATATGTTCCACAATTTTAAATGGGAACACTTACCTTTTCTGGCTATGAAATTAGTCTCATGTTCTATCCATATATTTTTTGTTTGTTTGTTTTTGTTTTGTACTGGGGATTGAATTCGAGACCTTGTGCTTGTGAAGCAGGCAGCAGAACCACTGAGGTAAATCCCTGTCTCATCTATCCTTATATTCATCCACTGAGTAACTGAGTAATTCACCATTTAGACAGACAGACACATAACACACACACACACACACAGACATGTAGGCACCCCACAGACTATTCACCATACCACATGAAAAGTTCATTAGTTCACTGTTGTTTTTCTCTGCCTACATGTGGATTTCTCTGCCTACATTGGAATACTCTGGGTCTCTTTTTTTTTATTGGTACCAGGGATCGAATACTCTGGATCTCTTGATAACTGACAAAGAAGTGAGAGGCAAAGTGGCTTACATTGTAGGAGCGGGGATGTCTCTGCTTCCACTGCACTAGGAGCAGCTGGGCCACCACCAAGGTCGCGATGAGGATGAGGACCATTTCAGCGTGCATGGCTTCATGACCACGATGTTTGGCATGCATGCGTGCATGCTCAACCCTGAAAGCCAAACAGAAGGGGTAAGCCAATTCAGGGATGGTGTGGTAGTAAAGGGGAAGTGTTTCCCCAGAATACTCTGTCAGTCTATAGCTCAAAACATGCTCCTGTGTTTTATAACTGAAGGGTACCATCCATGCAAACTAGGGGAAAGAAGGACACATGCCCTACATGACAGGCATTTGGGGACAGAACAGAAGCTCTATGGAAACAGCAACAAAACTTTCCCATGGGGAGTAGAGGTGGGTGGTCTACTGCCTGTCCTTCATGACAGAAATCTCTAATGCCCTTCTTGTAGGAAAAAGGAAAAGCTTACGTCACTGCCCCTTTCAGTCCTATTTCAACCTGGCACTGCAAGGAGAACATAATCCAGAGAGCTTATGGCCATAAAACCTTAAAATCGTAGTCTACAATATTTATAACACCAATACGGGGTAACAATGCAAATATGTGCTGATTCCAGGGTTAAATTCTTGCTTTATTCATCCTACCCTCTTTGCCTGGGCCAGAGATCTTAACATTGGTTAAAAGCTGAAAAACCTGGACTGCTTCAACTTTATTCTAATACATCAGTGACTTCATCAGCATTTAGCAGTAAATACTACAGTCTCCTCAAGAGCTCAAGAAGTTCAATAATTAGACAATGAAAACTTTTCATAAATCTAAGGCTGGCATTCTCTGGTCTTGAGGACTGGCAGCTATTGGATTCACTTGGCTAATACTGGCAAAATCTTCCCCCAGGAACAGTCATCCTACCTCTCTGGGTCACAGTCAGCCAAGAATGAAGAACAAGGAAGAAACTAGAGAGAAAACTGAATCTAAATGTAGCCTGCAGTCAGGAGCTTTTATACAAAGTCCTCGTACACTAGAGCAGTGATGGCGAACCTTTCAGAGGTTTTGATGATAACAAACAACCTGCTGTGGCACATATGCCATACATTCACCACCACGGTACGAGAGTAGCAGGGAGAAAAGGACAACATAAATGATGTCTTCATGGAATTGCTAAGGGCAACAAGAGAATAACAGCAAAAGAACCCAGTGGAATAAGTTATAAGTAGATAAACTACAAAGCAAATATAGCAAAAAAGTTAATTGTAGAATCTAGTGGTTAGTAAAGGGATGTTCAATATACAATTCTTTTAAGTTTTTTCTTCTAATTTTTTATGCAATTAAAATTTTCCATAATGAAATGTTAAAGGAGAAACTTAATGGGCAAAGCAAATAGCGAAACACCTATCAGTTAGCCTCAGCACCTAAGTGTTCATCTTACACAAAACCACCTTGGGTGGAAGAAAAATAGAATCAGGAGACTCACCTATGGGGTCTTACGCAACAAACCTTACATCTTGCCATCACCATTTCTTTCTTTCTTTCTCTTTTTTTTTTTGATACCAGGATCGAACTCAGGTCCTTGTACTTGCAAGGCGGACACTGAGCTAAAACCCTGGTCCGCTGTCACAATTTCTTCATGTGTCAAAAGGACTATGTATCTGTACTCCCTGCCTCACATGGTTGTTTTAAGGTTAGGCTAAACTAAAAGAGTAGAGAATACTTATGAAAACCTTAAAACTGGATATGGAGGTACATGCCTGTAATCTCAGTTACTTGGGAGGCTGACACAGGAGGGTTACAAGTTTGAGTTCAGTCTGTACAACTTAGTGAGACCCTGTTTCTAGATAGATAGATAGATAGATAGATAGATAGATAGATAGATAGATAGATGGGACTGGAGACAAAGCTCTGTGGTAGAGCATTTGTCTAGCATGCCAGGTCCTGAATTTAATCACTGATACTACAAGGAAGGAAAGGGAAGGGAACCTAAGGGCTGTAGGGAGTTGTAAGGATAGCAACAAGCCAAGTATGGTGGCACACGCCTGTAATCCTAGCACTTGGGAGACTGAGGCAGGAGGATCACTGGGAGTTCAAAGTCAGCCTGGACTACATAGTGAGTTCAACACCAGCCTGAACTACACAGCAAGATCCTGTCTCAAAAACAAAGAAACAAACAAAGCAAAAGATAAATTTCCTGTTCTAGATAATACATAACTGAATGAATATATACTATATGAAATCAAAGGAAGGGTCTAGAAAAGACCAGAGAAATCATCCAGTTCAAGTTCCTGCTCAACGCAAAAATTATTTTTGCAAACTTTACTTAAATACTTCCACTGGCTGAAAACACAGGCCTTTTAAGATATCTATTATAGAACTAGCAGTACCTGGCACATTGTACATACTCATATTTTCTTACAAACGAATAAATTTCCAATTTTTTATTTTTTTAAATTTTAAAATTTATTTATTTATTTATTTTTGGTACTGGGGATCAAACTCAGGTCCTTGCGCTTGCAAGGTAGGCAGCAGAACCACTGAGCTAAATCCCCAGCCCAAATTTCCAATTTTTTAGAGACAGAAAACTTACTACCTGTCAACATATCTTGACTAAAGATATTTATAACAATGAGTCAAAAAAGTCCATGTTACATCTTCAACTACTGGAGCTACTCCTATAACTCTGGAAAACACAAAGGACAAAGCTACTACTCTTTCCCAATGCCAATACTTCAAAGATTTATCACGACCTTATTAAATCAACAACAAACCCTCTCCTGTTCCTGACTCCATCATTCTGTTACCTTTAAAAGGCTAACATTTCTAGATCTTTCAACCAGTATTCATACAGCATTGATGTGAAGACTTAAACCTGGTTGCCTTCTTTAGGTGATACAGTTTAAGATCTTCTTTGATTTTACTTTTTATTTATTTTTTTGTACCAGGGATGGAACTCACTACCTTGCTCTTGCAAGGCAGGTGGTGGAACCACTGAGCTAAATCCCTAGCCCAAGAGCTTCTTAATCAGCAGTGTGCAGAACAAAACGTGTGTCCTCAGTAAAGCAGAGCACATTGGTGGTGTCACTGGCCTTAAGGGAGACAGCACATTTCTATGAACATCTTCTAAATTATTCAGAATATATTGGTAGCTGACATATACAACTACTACTTTAGAGATTAAAATCAACTAAAATAATGCTGGGTTTATCATGAGTTGGTATCCTTGCCAATCTATATTTTAATAATTGATAATTTTAATCTAAATTAAGGGCTTTTCTCGCTATTCAATTTTATTGGGTTGATTTCAGTTCATTGGTCAGCCACCTTGTGAAATGTGTGGGCCAAGCACTCTGAAACACTTTTAACTGATAAGAGATCATGAAAACAAAGTTTCTGTTGGGCCAGGAATTTAGCTCAGTGGTGCTGCCACCTGCCTCAAAAGCACAAGGTCCAGTTCAATCCACAGTATAAAAATAAATAGATTAATAGAAATAAAGTATTTGTTGATTCTTTCTAGTTACAAAGCTAGTAAGTAGTAGAGGTGAAATCAGAAGAACTTCTTCCTATTTTTCAAACCAGAGCTCTCCATGCTGTATCATGGATAAGGACAACAATGTTAATGATGATAATCATCTTCAAAGCAAGCAACACTTACTGGAAGCTCATCACATGCCAAGCACTGTTGTAAGAGTTCATATTTATTAATCCTCACACCTCTTTAAGATATAGAGCCTGTTATAATCCTTGTTTTACAAATGGGGTGAACTCAGGCAGTGAGAAGTCAAGTAACATGCCTGAGATCACATAGTTAATGGCAGAGCTGGTATTCAAACCCAGATGGTTGGATGACATTGTTTGTTTACTCCCTAGCACAAAGGGAGCTACCCAGAAATGACCCAGATATTTGGAGAGATCCCAAAAGATCAGTCCTGTCAGTCATAAGCCATTGCCTCCCATGGACAAGGAAGAAAAAAAACTCTTAGCTGAGTTAACCTGCAGTTACCAGCTTGTGGGGACATACATACCTCCACTGCTCTTCTGGTGAGAGTTCTGACATATCAACCTGTGGAGAAACCACCAGAAAAATCCATTATTATCTCAGAACTGTCCCTGCCCAATATAAGGTATTAACACATTCATCAAATGTTTTTTGCATGCAAAATACGTTTTATTTTTCTTTAAAAGGATTCAGGGTTTGGTTTTAAATCAGGCTACATACCTTTTATCAATCTGATATCTCTTACCATCTCAAACTGGTTTCAGCTAGCAATATTTCATTAAATCCAAAATAAAAATTATTTTAACTTAAGGGGGAAAAAATCTACTTCTGAGAACAATTAATATTAATCTGCATTTTAGGATAAAATGAGGGCTAATGTCTCACATTGCTTTATACACCCTTCTCCTCACAAGGAACCGGGAATGTAATTCTTACTCAGGTAGGCACTGGGACATACTGATAGGACTGATGATGAGACTAATAAGGACACATGCACCCACATGTGTACAAATGTACAAATTCCCCCATACAACAAAATCCAGAGCACCTCAAATAGAAAAGGTTTGTGACAGCATTGATCAAAACCCTTGGCATGCTGGGCGTAGTGGCTCACGCCTGTAATCCCAGCACTCGGGAGGCTGAGGCAGGAGGATTGCTGTGAGTTCAAAACCAGCCTGGGCTATATAGTGAGTTCCAGGTCAGTCTCAATTACATAGTGAGATCCTGTCTCAAAAAACCAAAACAAACAAAAAAACAAAGAACAAACCCTTAGCATCAAGCATATGTGAAGGTCCAGGGATTTAGCTCAGTAGCACCTGCCTGGCAAGGGCAAGGTCCAGAGCTCAGTCCCCAGTACCGGGAAAAACAAACAAACAAACAGAAAAAAACAGTACATGTGAACTTAGAAGGTATGATGCTTTGATCTTGAATCTATGGTAAAGGAATCTACTGTCATTTTAATCAAAATGTCAATGTCATGCCAGGGCTTTAGCTCAGCGGCGCTGTGCCTGCCTCACAAGTGCAAGTCCTGAGTTCCATCCCTGATATAGCAAAATGTCACTGTCAATTTATTTCAGAAATAAAAGAATTTTGGGGGCTGGGATTTAGCTCAGTGGTGTCACCGCCTGCCTCACAAGTGCAAGGACCCAAGTTCAATCCCTGGTACCAAAAAAAAAAAGAAAGAAAAAAAGAAAAGAATTTTGAATAGTACTATCAATTTTTATTGTAAAATTCTAGTAACAGTGTCAAAAAGCATTATATTGCTTTGCTTCCTGGATGAGGGAGGAGAGATCTACAGGTTTGCATTTAGTTAAAAAAAGTCAAAACAACTCTGGCAATAGGAAGTGGGCAGTTCACATCAAGGCATCATTAGTATGAGACAAAGTCCTAGTCACACCCACTGGCCCAGCGGATGCTCACAAAACAGGACACTCATGGCTCTGCATAGTGAATTTCAGCAGGACAAGATGACTCTAAGTCTGTATTCAGAGACTCAGAAGCAAGGTACTTACGTACGTAATATAAGGAGTGCAAGAGTCCTGACAGTACCCCTCCACTTCCTCTGTCAATACAGTCTGCTTATAAATGCCTTCCTCATTGAGGAGATAAACAGCTTTTCTAGATCAGCACACTGAGCACAGCAGAGAATGTGCAAAAATTGCTACTCCATCATTTCACAAGCAACACAGTCCCTCTGCTCCTCGTTGGGTTGCTTGATGTCTCTCCTCTACCCTGCTATAGCCTGTCAGTGCACACATACAAGGCACTGCTGCTTCTGAACCACTATTTGTTTGTTTGTTTTTTAATCTCAAAAAAGAACCTGGTAAAAAAGCAACAAGGCAATCAGTGGTTAAAATGAACAATACAGATACTGAGCAGCTCAAAAAATATCCACCATGGGCATTTCCCAAGACCAAAATAGTGTGAATTTGCTATGGCTTCTTTGACCATTTCTGAAAATTCAGAATATAAATATGTCCTAAAATAAAAAAAAAATGGGGGAGGTACTGGGATCAAACTCAGGACCTTGTGCTTGCAAGGCAGGTGTGGTGCTGCTGAGCTAAATCCCCAGACCTCTAAAATAAAAAATTTAAGCTATCAGCATTCTCTGACATCACTAGAGAATCACTCTGCTACAGCCCCACAATTTTAGTTTTTTGAGTTTCTTTGGGTTTTTTGGTACCGGAGATCAAACTCGGGACCTTGTATTTATGAAGCAGGTGGCAGAAGCACTGAGCTAAATCCCTGGCCACAATTTTATAATTTGTAGAAAGTGTGCTAATTCTCTGCCTGGATATATCTTCAGTGATAGCCTAGAGTCAGACTCTTCAGAAAAGAAGTTTCTGCAATACCCACTTTGCTTCCCTGGACTTATCTTTAAATGCCATTTCCCCACTAATTTACCTAAAGGCTCTTGATAATTTTGTTTAATGTTCAATCGGGACTCTGAGGAAAAGAAACTAATATGAACACCCTATTATCAGTAAAGACTAAAAACAACCTGGATCATTAATTGTTATATACATACATATTATATATACATACATATTATATATACATACATATTATATATATATATATATATATATATAATTTTAAGTATAACTGTATATAGAATCATTATATATATGCTATATATGTTTTTTCCTAAAAGTGCTCAGGGGAGCTTAAGGCTACCAGACTATATACAAATCTACAGCAACAAGATTTCTCCTCTCATCTACAATGTGTATCAGGGAAGGGAAGGGGCAGGAGAAAGAAGAGAGAAAATATGCACTTTCCCGCCTAAAAAATATCCCACCAGAGAGATGTATGTGGCAAGCATAAAGAATGGACTCCCCCAAACAGAGGCTTATGCACAGGCTAATATTCTGCTGATTTTCATTAGTGACCTATCCTGAAAAGCTTTATAAAGATTTTGAAATAATTCAATCCTGGCAGAAACTAAAACTCCAAAATTAAAAGCAAAATCATCCCTTGTTGAATCTCCTTTCTTAAATATTTTATTCAAGTTGCTGAGGGATTTTTTTGCTTTTTTCTAATCATTAGAAGAGTGGTTGAGGAGGACTGAATCCATCATCATTACTTTGATGACACAAGATTTGAGATTCACATTTCCAAATATCAAAAGTTCTAACTGCCACAATCGAGTAAGTATTCATTTATATTTCTTTTTACCAAACACAGCAATGCCCAATGGTACCTCTGAAGCATAATCTCATCTTAGGTTGTTATTTCTCCAAGTAAAGCAGCTGCTTGGAATTGAATGCTCCCCTTCTTTTTTGTCATCTGAACTGCATTCTACATTCAATTAAAACAAGTGCAACCAGTGCAGGTGCCCTTCTCAATCCTGCAGCACAGTGCACTGCAACCCAGCAACCCTGTTTTTAGAAGGTTCAGCCGATCATCTACTCCTGTGTATGCTAGGGGCTGGCACTCTTTCGTCAAAATGGCCAGTCTGGAAGATAGATTCCTTCTTTTTCAGCTGGAGCTTCGTCATTTGTACCATCACAAACTCGAACCAAATGTGTCACTCCTATTTTTCTGGCGTAGCTATTCAGTATAAAGATTCTTCCATGCTAGTGGCCCATTCCTTTTGCCATTACATGGCTGCACAATTTGTCTATTCATGGATAAGTAGATGAAAAACTGGATTATTTCCAGTTTCGGAATTATGAAACTTCAATAAACATTGTACAGAAAAAATATGCTTACAGTTTTTTCCATTTTAAAAAAATTGCAACTATTTCTTTTCTGCAATTTCTTTTTTCTATTTTTGTTGCTTTTTTTTTTTTTTTTTTTTTTTTTGGTACTGGGGATGCAACTTGGGACCTTGCGCTTGTGAGGCAGGTGGAGGAACTACTGAGCTAAATTCCAACCCCAACTATTTCTTCTTTTCATGACTTTTAGCTTTTGCATTTAAAAAACTTTTCTTGATTGGGTTGTTTGTTGTGTTTTTTTTGAGACAGGGTCTATGTAGCCAGGCTAGTCTTGAACTCACTGTGTAGCACAGGCTGGCCTCAAACTCTTGGCAATCCTCCTGCCCTAGCCTCCTGAGTGCTGGGATTACAGGTGTGCACCATCAAGACCAGCTTTAGAAACTTATTAGGATATGTTTGCAGTACATGTTTATATTCCTGTGTGGAGTTGGTACATGTACATAACACATCCTAATTCCTTTCTTCATTCTCTTTCCCGCCACTCCCTTCCTTCCTCCCTGTCGTAGACAGGGTTTTGGCAAGGGAATACATTTAATACAGGACATATAATCTATAGGATTATTTTATGATATTTACCCAAAAAGTCAAATATGATTGAGTGCAAGAGATTAGCCACACACTGGAAGCCTAAAGAATCCTGGAGTTCAGCCAGTGACCTAGAGTCATGACAGTGTCTCATGCTTTCCTGTACTGAGGATCTGTACCCAGAAGGCCCAAAGGTCAGTGGTAGAAACCAGAAAACCTACAACAGCGGGGTGAAGGATTTGTGCCATCAGGCTGAAGAATCTACATTGAAACCAGGAAAAGATGCTCACGGTGATGATTAGAGCTCCCCTGGCCAGAACAGCAGCTGTTCCCAGAAACAGCGAGGCCCTGAGCTCCTCCTCCAAGGGAACAGCCAAGTTCGCATCAGGAAAGCGATCCACAGCAAACTTCTCCTAGAAAATCAACAGCCCACGATCTTCTCCTCCAGTTCTCTTTTTATGGCTATTGGCAACAACCCTCAGGTGGGTCCTCCATGCCCAGACCACAACAATTCAGTTTAGCTGGGCATTACAAGTTGACCGTTAGCTAATCAACCATATTCCCTCCATCTTTTGATCCACTTTTAAACTGAGAAAGATCTATCTCGCTACTTCCTATTATATATCTTTTATTTTGCTCTTTATAATATGGGTTTCTCATATACAAGAAATCATATGATATTTAAGCTTGTGTGTCTGATTTACTTCTTTTAACATTATGGTCTTGAGGTGTATCCATTTTCCTACAAACGACTCAATGCTATCTTTATTATGGCAGAGTAGTACTCCGTATAAATACCACATTTTCTTGATCCATTTA